ATTTAGTGGGTTTTAGCAAACTTTTCCCACTAAATAATGGTGAAATTCAATAGGAATGATAAAATTAGGGATCTCCATCCCAGGAGTGATGACATCCATATATCATCCCTAGAGGCCCCATTCAGCTGCCATGGATTCTATTCTGTCATGGGAGTGCACATTATGCCAAGAGAGTTAATGTTTGGATGGTGCCAGCAGTAGTGTTACGACTTCCATCGGACTGCCCTCTTCATCTCTCTGGATCTCCCCAGAGGATGCAGTTCTCACAAATGACTATGTAAGAATGACCAGAAGAGTGCCTGTGAAAGGCAGGCAACCCCACACTAAGGGAAGCCAAATGGTCACTGGGCATTTGCCTGTACATTTTTTTGTGGTGGGGAGGGTATCTAGCATGGATAAGGAACAATTAGCACTGATGCTATAGCTCTCAAGTAGGATGTTTGTTGGCAGCTTGCAGTGCCAGCTCTTAACTCTATAGTTGTTATACAATGGGTTACTGTGGGTGGTTCCATGGAAGACACTCAGTGTACTTGGAGCAGTAACTATTCAACCACTATGGACATGTATCAATATTTTAACAACTGCTACAGCTGAACCAATGTGTACTAGCTGAGTATCAGGCCTGAATGCAGTATACTGCCCTTCAGAGCAAGATTTTAAGTGATGTTATATTTATCTTGTTTTGTGTCTGCCTGTGGTATACTAGGATGAACGTTAAAATCTTCCTCTATGATAAATTTCTCCATTTTCTCCTTGAAGTTATCAGTTTTTGATACATATATTTAAATTTAAAACTCATTCAAGTTCAAAACTATTTTATCTTCCATGTGAATTGAACTTTTATCAGCATGAAGTGACCTATCTCTAGTAAATTTTTTTGCCTTAAAGCCTAGTTTGTATTTTAATATAGCTCACCAGCTTTTGTTTAGAATGTTTATTTTTGTTTATCCTATTGAACATTTAGTACTATTATAGTTGTTATAATTAATAATATTTGGACTTATTTTCAGCCATTCTTTGTGCTTTTTTTTATTATACCTTTTCTACTTTTTTTCTTTCCCTTTCTTGTATTCTCTTGGAATATTTTTTTCTTGTTCCATTATTTTTTCCTCTCATAGGCTAGAGATAATATATTTTCTTATCTTTTAATCTTGCAAATTTTAATATGCAAACATTAAAACCAACAGTTAATATGTCAAATACTCCCTGAAGAAAACAAATTTAGAACCCTTCATAATTTATTATTTTCTTCAATTTTAGTTCCATCTTTGTTAATTGCAAAAGACAAAACTGAAATTAGATTTAGTTTCACATACATATTCCCACTTTCTTTGTTCTTCATTCTTTCTACCATCTCAGACCTTCCAGTTGAAAACTCCTCTCTCTGAATGTAGAATTCCATTATTGAAGGTCTGGTGGCAAACTCACTGGGCTTTGCTTGTGTATGTATTTAATCTTCAATCTTGACAAAAATGAAGAATCCCTCTTTGATGGGTATAGACATCTAGACTGGCAGTTTTCTTCCCAGCATACTGAAAACAATCACTTTCTTCTGATTTGCACTATTATTGATGACTAATTGGCTATCACTCTCATAATTACCCCTTTGAAGGTCTTTTTCTCTAGTTTTTAAGATTTTGTTGTTCTGGAGTCACTGTATGTCTAGAAAGGATTCCTGCTTGGGGTCTGTTGGGCATCTTAAATCACGGCCTGCTGACTTTCTTCAGTTCTTCAAGTTCTCAGCTATTATTTCTTAAAAAAAAAAAAATTTCCCCCCATTATTTGTCTCATTTTCTTCAGGAGCTGACCAAATATATAGTATGCCTTTTCTCTCTATGCTTCAGGTCACTAAACCTCCTTCATATTTTCAATCTCTGCATCTTTCTTGTCTCCATTCTAGAGAATTTCTTCATTTCTATTTTCCAATACACTACTTCTCTCTACAGCAGTGCCTAATGTGTTTTCATAAAGGATAGCTTGACAAAGTCCCACATATTTCTATTAACATCAAATTTCATTTTTCAAAATGTTATCTTAGGAGGTGATACACTTGTTTTGATAGAACTGTTACTGTATAATATTTTTGGAATTCTTTAGAAATTACCTCTACTCCATGTATCCTTTCATTTCTTTTTTAGTGCTAAATTTTTTCTAGTCTGGTCTCTATTAAATTCATAATTTTAATTCTTACCTTCCGTGTCACCTCTCCTTCTCTGTACTGAGAAGTCCTTATAAATGACAGTGATAATGGTACCCAGTAAGCTGATTTAACCCAAAAAACTGAAGAATATATGAAATTATCTCATTTAACACAGATGTCTTTTTTCTATAAAATTAAGTCCTGCAAAAATCTGGAGCCTATTAGTAAATGTAGTAAGAATAATAAAAAATTATAACACAACTATTTTCACCTATCACGTTCACATAGATGAAAAAGAATGGCAATGTGCAATGTTGGCAAAAGTATGGGGAGACAGGCACTTTCATATGTGTGTGATAGGAATTAGTAAAATCTTCAGAGGGCAGTTTAATAATATGTATCCAAAATCTTCACAACCTTTCACTCATTCTAGAGAGTTATCATGAGGACATAAATCTAAAAATTTTGTTTATAGAGATTTAAACTAATGAAAAATGTTAAATAATGTAAAAATACATTAACATAGGTAATTCACAATATACTGTATGGAAAAAAGCAGGCAACAAAATAATATGATTCCATGTTTATATTAAAATAAACATATGCAGGGCACCTGGGTGGCTCACTCATTTAAGCATCTGCCTTCAGCTCAGGTCATGATCCCAGGGTCCTGGGATCAAGCCCCACATCGGGCTCCCTGCTCAGAGGGAAGCCTGTTTCCCCCTCTCCCACTCCCTCTGTTTGTGTTCCCTCTCTCGCTGTGTCTCTGTCAAATAAATAAATAAAAACCTTAAAAAAAATAAAATAAAATATAATAAAATAAACATATGTAGGGGCGCCTGGCTGGCTCAGTTGGAAGAGCATGTGACTCGATCGCGGGGTCATGAGTTCGAGCCCCATACTGGGTGTAGAGATTATTTAAATAAATAAAAACCTTTAAAATATAAATAAATAAAATAAACATACACACACAAAAAATTCCTTGGATAGCCATTCAACCTCTGGGATTATAAGTGATGTTTAGCTTCTTTTTGCTCATTTATTGTCTAGGTTTTCTAGAATGAGTATGTATCAATTGTAAATTAAACATCATTGAATTATAATTATTTACATTATTGAACTATTTTAAATACCAGAGTACCTACTTTTTACAAAAATGTTTATAGGGGACAATATTGTCCGGATTCAAACAGAACTATCAGTAATTTATTCCTCATTCTAATAGCAGTGGCAATGGGAATTCCTTCTTTTAACTCATTCTACCCCTCTCAACATGCACCTAAAATCTCACTTCCAAAAAGTAGAAACAGCTATTTCTGAGAGCCTGACAAAATAGGCAGGAGGGTGGGAGGAGAGGAGTCGCGGTATGGAGAAGAAAGGAACCGAATGTTTATGAGGAACAGATTCTTGGTATTTTGGGAGAAGCTTTAGGAACAGGGCTTTGTTGGAGACAGGACTGGGGAGGGGAGGTTACATGAATAAACTTCAGTAGTTTCTCCTCTCTTACCTGTATTCAGGTGCACATTCACTGCTACAGGTTCCACGAAACTGCTGTTAAGTAGAAACCCCAGAGATCCTAGCACCAAGTGTAATTAGGAAGATGCATATGCATCAGTGAAATCGAATATGATGTACCTCCTCACCGTGATTCCAAATTCTGCTACTTTTCTCCTTTCTCAGTATATTTTAGGTTTTTCTTTAGCAAAATATTTTGCTTTGTTAAGCCATCATTTTTCAGCTTCTCTAACATGACATAGTGGCCCTTCAACCATAGGTCCTTTGACATACCATTTTCTCCATCTGAAATACTTCTATCCCCTCGCCACCCTATCTTGGTTAATTCATCTTCTCATTTTTTCTATTCTTGGTTAAATGTTATTTCTTCAGGGAAACCTCAAACACCCTAGTTGTACGACCGGTTCCTTCAAGCCTTTACCTCAATTTATACATATACATTATGAAATATTTAGTATGGTTATTAAAATCTAGTTGAACCATTAAGTCCCCAGCTTAGTAAGAGTGGTGCCATTAGCTGGTTTTGCTCACCACTGCAATCTCTGCATCTGTAACATAGCAAGTGCTCAACAAATATTTGCTGAATGAGGGAATGAATAAATGAACTAAGCAAATGACTAGAATCGAAAGACCTTGATCAGTTAAGAGTTATATTAACTATGTCTTCTCAGAGTAGAACTGTGTGTAATTTTTTTCCTTTGTTGTTTAACTTGTTCGTGTACTCACCAAAGTTTTAAAAATACATATTATTTTGAAAATTCCCCATAACGCAAAGTAAACCGAGAGCAAACATGAAATATTTAATCCGCCAGGAAAAAGGGTGGACACCCGTAACAGAAGCATGTAGTCTAGCCTGGGGAGTTCACAAATGCCCCACATCCTAAGACACCTCCCTGCCGCGTCTTAGTATCCTTCAGGAGCCAAGGAAAGCACACTTGTCAACCCTCAAGGCAAGTCAGGCACAGAGTACACGGAACCTGCAGACTCCTACCCTTGCCAGAAGCTTCGGTGAGAAAAACACAAGCCTGGGATGACAGGGAAAGAATGAGTATTTACTGGGCATGTACTGTGTACCAGAGAACCCTAGCTCTGGCCTGGCTCTGGCAGATCTGCCGGGTGGAGGGCCCTAGGCATTTCTGCTTCACAGAGCTCCGCGTCCCGAGGTGCACAAATGAGTCCCGGGCCTGCCTACCTCCAAGGGCTGGGCCGGGACCTCCAACAGCCACAAAGCGCTTCAGAAAGTGCCGGGGTGCCTGCAGGCCGGCGGCCCCCAATCCGGGCCGCCGCCCACCGGCAGCAGAGGCAGGCGGAGGCGGGCACCCGCCCTACGAGGGGCCGCGCTTACCCGTCGGGCGAGTACTCGAGGTTGAAGACCGCGCCGTGGGTGCGGGTGCTGAGATACACCGAGTCCGCGGGATGGATGGAACCATACAGGTTAGTCATGGTGCGGAAATTGTCCCGCGCCGGGTCCACGAACAGCCCGCGGCCCAGGCTGCGCTCTCTCAGCCACCCGAACAGCCGGGCGCCGGGGCCGCCCAGGCCGGCGCCGAGGCCGTGGCGGCCCCGGCTCCCCGCCCTGCAGTCTGGCCCGGGTCGTCGGCGCGGCGGGGAGGGCGGTGACGGCTCTCCCTGGGCGGAAGCGGCTAAGGAGTCTAGAGCTCCGGGCGGCCTGAGCTCCCCGACGCGCGCGGCCAGGGGCAGCGAGGGGGCGCCGGGGCGACGAGGGCTCCGGGAGGGCGACGGGGGAGGGGCTGCGTCAGCCCCGGGCTGCGGCGGCGCGGACGCGGAAGGGAGCGGCCCGGCGGCTGCCGCCTGCCCCGCACGGGGTGCCGGCTCCTCAGCCCCGGTTCCGGCCGTCCCATCCCCTTCGGGACTACGGGGCCCGAAGGTAAACATGACCAACGCACCCGCCCCCCGCTCCCGGCCGCAGCCCCGCCGGTCGACACCTCAGCGCTCCCGCTCCAGCAGCCACTTCCGGCTTGCGACCGCCTAACCCTGCCGGCTGGGAAGCACGCGCCGCCCTCGGCTACCATCCGTTGGGGACCGCGGAAGCTGGGACACCGCCCATGGCGGATGCTTTATCCCGGAGGGACGGTGATAGCTGTTTGAGCGCAACTGAGAATGCTCAGGGCCCGGGCTGCATGGGGCAGTGGTAGCATCAGGGCACCCCTAGGACAGTCGGTAGTTGCCAGTCATCGTGACTGTGTGCCTGGGGATGAGTGGGCCTGAATAGTTAAAGGGGTGGACTATGATATGTACTGTTATCCCCAATTTAGGCAAAGGTCACAAGGGGAAGAAATTACCATATCATGTGCAGGTCCCACATAGTAAGTGGCACGGTGTACTGCCCACTCAGACGGGGAGTCTAAGGCCTCAGGTTCAGTATTGTGCTAAAAGCGAAGGCCTGGGGCACCTGGGTGGTTCAATCAGTTAGGTGTGGGACTCCTGATTTCAGCTGAGGTCAGGATCTCAGGGTGGTAAGACCAAGCCCCTCCCTGGGCCCTGGGCCCAGCAGGGAGTCGGTTTTAGATTCTCTCTCTGCCCCTCCCCACTGCTTTCTCAAATAAATAAAAAATCTTAAAAAGTAAAGAAAAAATAAAGCCCAGGTCTATACAGGAACTGGAAAATGGGGTCTACTGGTGCCCCCTGAATATCTGCCCAACTCCCAGCTACTGCCCAGCAGGTCAAGATTTTATCAATGCCAGGGACGCCTGGGTGGCTCAGTCCATCTGCCTTGGGCTCAGGTCATGATCCCAGGGTCCTGAGATCGAGTCCCTCATCAGGCTCCCTGCTCGTCAGGGATCCTGCTTCTCCCTCTGCCTGCTGCTCCCCCTGCTTGTGCGCTCTCTGACAAATAAAATCTTTAAAAATAAATAAACAAAAAGATTTTATGAAGGCCAAAGTCGTCTTCTCCCTCAGGAAGGAGCATATATCCAGCAGGAGTCACCGAGTGGAGCTGGAGATCTAAATCAAATCAACTGTACAAGCAACAGAGCCCAAGGTCAAATCCTGTTTATATGTGCCAGGCAGGGCACAGAGGGCATGACAGATGCAAGGCCCTTCACCACTCCTGTTAAAGATCAATATATAGAACTTGTTTGTAAAAAAAAGTTAACAGGAACTGGGGTGGTTCTTGGGAAGGGAAGGAGTCTTCAATAAAAAGCTTGAGGTACAAGGAAAGGTAGATACAAGAACTGACAACTCTTCCAGGCCTTGATCAGGAGCTATGTTGTAGAAAGCTCACATTTGATGACTGAGGATAAATCTGGATCTTTGCAGGAAGAGCTATCCTGTGAGGACAGATCTGAAGGATCTCTACAGTAAGGGAATGAGATTCAGAGGGCTGAACATTCTGCAGGTCCTCCCACCAGGAAAGTTAGTTCTTCAGCGCTCTTGTCCATGAGCTGATTGAAAAAAGGGCAAGAAGCATCCATCCTGAGTTGAGAGACCAGGCAGCCATTCCTCATCCATCCTGAGTTCAGAGATCAGGCTTCAGGATACTCTCCATGTTGCCCCCACAAAGTAGAAGGGGTAGAGATCTATTTTGTAATTAAATAATGTTCCTTAAAGACCCCCAACTTCTGGCTGCAACAAATACTTAATAGAGGCCCTCTGCTTGACCCCTAAGTTTGTTTTTTGTTGGTTTTTTTTTTAAGATTTATTTGAGAGGGAGAGAATGAGAGATTGAGAGAGAGCACGAGAGGGAGGAGGTTCAGAGGGAGAAGCAGACTCCCCGCAGAGCAGGGAGCCTGATGCAGGACTCCATCCTGGGACTCCAGGACCATGACCTGAGCCATTAAGCAGTTGCTTAACCAACCAAGTTATGGCCAATGGCTAAAATTTTATGGTCTATAAAACTGACCATTCACCAATATTACTAAATTTTTAATAGGTAAAATAAAACAATTTTAAAAGGTTACAAATTCCAAGGCATTTAAGATATAATTCCAACAGAAGAACACAAGCTCTGCAATGAAAGTTTGTGCTGCCTTAAGAGAATCAGATTTCACAGTTCAGGCAATTCAAATTTTTTTCTTTCTTTCTTATGCTTCTATTTAAAATGTGAGTCCTCACTTATCAAATATTTTTTGCTAAAAGCTAAAATAATAAATTACATAAGGACTAAAATTCTACTGAGATGATCATGAATGTACAACCCATCAGTAAAATTAATAGACAAAGTAAATAAAAATTTACTGGAAGTTAACTGAGAAGGCACTAAAGATAGATTAACTGTGACTGCTCCTATTTACCCACTGCCTTTGAGAGCCTTTAAATACAACCATGTCATGTTAACAAGGAATTGACTGCAAATCACAGTCTATATAGACCAATTTCTATGTAACGCTATTTTTTTTAAAGATTTTATTTATTTATTTGACAGAGAGACACAGCAAGAGAGGGAACACAAGCAGGGGGAGTGGGAGAGGGAGAAGCAGGTTTCCCGCTGAGTAGGGAGCCCGATGTGGGGCTCGATCCCAGGACCCTGGGACCATGACCTGAGCCGAAGGCAGACGCTTAATGCCTGAGCCACCCAGGCGTCATGTAACACTATTTTTGAGTGCTAAAAAATTTTCAACTTCAACAGCTCAACTTCACAGATAAGAGTTCATCAGAAAAGCATCCTCTGGACTTCTTTGCCCTGATGTTCCTTTTAGATCACAACACAAGGAAACAATTGGCAAACATTTCCCCTAGGCCCAGGTATCACATGTCCCTGGATACCCCCAACACTTTAGGATCTAGCTCTTTGAGTGGGCAGGGAGCAAATTCATTTACTTTCTTTCCTATCCACTGACTAGATGTTTTTAAAAAATTACTTCCCAAGTAATGTAGTGTGCCTGAAATATAAACACTAATTGTTCTGTTTAGGCTTTTATACTTTGGGAGCAGCAGCTGATTCACTCCTGATGTCTTTGACATCATTGGTACTGCCTATCAAATAGAATTCTTTGTTGGGGACAAGATTGACAAAATGAGCAAGGTGGCTGGACATGGCAAAAAAAGCTGAAATGGCAGCGACATCCCAAGCATCTTCTCCATTGAAGCCATGCATCTCTTAACTTTTTGAAATGGTCATCTGTTATGTCATCAGCTCGGGAAACACCAAGTGCAAACTCTAGCATTGCCTTTTCCCAAGCAGGAAGGTCAGACTTTCTCCAGTTCACACAGACCTGCAAGAAAACACAGTCAAAAGCAGAATCTCTGTTCATCACAATATAGCTGATAAAACAAAAGGTCTAACAAAATGAAAAACCCTTTGGAATAAAGGGGCAAAGTCAGGACAAAATACTTTCCAATGGAATACGAACTTGAAACTCTGGCTCAGCCCCACCTCTGCCAAGAAGTCTTCTTTGCTCACTACAACTATAAGCACGTCTTGCTCCTCTAAATACTTATGGCTCCAAAAATCTCAGAACCAAGACTCAGAAACTCTAAGTACATAAGGACCCCAAATCCAAACTTTTTCTTATGAGTAAAGAGAAGCTCAGATAATTATCCCTTTGTCCCCAATTAATCCCAAACAAGAAACAATATCTGCAAAATTAATAGCTGACACCAATTACTATGTGCTAAGGATGTGCTTAATGCTTCGTATTATCTTATTTCTTATAAAAATCCTAGGAAGTAGTATTTTTATTATTGCCCCCATTTTATTGGCAAAGAAACCAAAGCTCAGGGAGGTCAAGCGACTTCCCCAAGGTCATACAATTGGAAAGTGGCAGAGCTGGGATGTGAATCAAAGTGTATTTGATTCCAAAGATTATACTTACAATCATTACCCTTGCTCAAGTAAAATACTGAAAACCACTAACGATCTAAAAAATAGAAGAACAGTCCAGCAAACTATGGTGTGACAGCATACACTATGGCCACCAGGGAAACAATGCCTAGAGAATGATCTTGGATGAATAAAGGTCTGGCAACTAGGCAGGAGGCTCTCAGCACAGCAAAGGTGAGAGGATGTACCTGTCCTGAAGTTATCTTCAGGGTGGCAACAGGGGCCCTTCAGGAACAGTTTGCAAGGTTTCCACTCAGGTGGGGTCAGGAGAGGAAGCTGGGGGGTAGGAAGACCGATGACCCTCAACCTCAGGAATAAATGCAGAGAACAGAGGTTTCTATTCCCCAGCCCAGGGGAATAGAAACGGAATAGATCCGGAATTTCACTGTAGGGATCAATAGGACTTTGTAAGTTTGGTCTGCTGTGTCTTTACCCTTAATCCATTTCTCTGGGAAGAATTAGCGTGACCTCTGACATCCAAAGGGCCTGATTTTGGACTGAGATAGTAGGCTGTTGGCTGGGAGACTGAGACCCATTTTCACAACCAATCTCGGTGGGAAAGATAAGATGGAGGCAGTTCTATAAATGAGAAGCAGACAGATGTAGGCTTGGGGCTAGCAGGAAGAAATAGAAGAAAACCTAAGAAACTCATTTGGGCCCATTAGGAATAATTAGCTAAATTCACAATGGCAAATGCAAACAATATAATGTAGCAGAAAACAGTGCAAGCTTTGAAAATGGACTCTCATATTCTAGTTGCATGCCACATGTTAAGTTACACCTCTGAACCTCAAGGATAAAATGGTTATTAATAAGGCTCAGCTTAGGGGGAGCTGTGTGCATTTGAGAGAATGTATGCCATGTATCTAGGATCAGGTGTGGCACAAAGCTGTGTTTCAGCTAACCCCTAGTCCCAAACATCATGTACACACAGAAGCAAGTGGGCACAGTGATGGGACTGGAAGGGAACTCAAGCGATGGGAAGAGCTGCAGGGGGAGGTGTTCCCTGAACCATATAGTGGCATGGACCTTTCCCTTTCCTTAGGTATGAAGAAGCCCTGAAATTGGCACAGGGGAGGTAGGCACCAACCTGGTCAGAAAGCACTGGGTTCTT